CATGCACACAGTCATTTTGTCCATTCACGTATTGGAATTTTTTTTCGGGGGCGGGGGGGTGGTATCCTATCCTCTGTTCCTTGCTGGAAAAAAAACTCACATATTGCCACTTTTTGTGCTCAGATGAAAGCAATACAAGTATTCGCAGCCATCTTGATGCATCTTGGTGTCAAGGAACTGTGTTGAAGTGAGCTAAGGAGTTTCATTTGGTCTAAAATGGTGCTTTGCCACCATGCTGTGGCATCTGTTCGCATTAGATCTATGATATGTCAATTACTCTTGGATTTTCTCTCTCTCTCTGTTATGCGGGGATGACTGGAAACAAGCACAGAAGTTCAAATTGAGCCCGAAAATTTGTTTTAAAAATTGGAACGCCATAAATTGCATACAAATTATGAGACAATCTATAATTAACATGAAAGACCCCTCTCTGGGGAAAAAAATAATTAAGGACAAATGACCCATCTCAGGGCTCAAGACTGACTCAGACCCGATAAAATGACGGGGCTTACAGTGGCTAAACCCGCAGCTTTCAGCTAAAGCAGTCTTAATTTGAGGAATGAGAAGATGTCACTGCAGCATCTTTTGTTGTTGTTGTTCCTGTTCTGTCCCTGATTCTTGCACAAAAAGTCAAATATTTCCGGACAGGCAAGAAACGTAATACATAGCCTCCACAACCCTAACAAGCCGTTTGATTCTGCCAAAATGTTTACCAATGTACTAAAAATGAGAATATGTATTTCAAGTAACGATATTTTTGTTAGTGTGAATGAAGAAAAAGGTTCCAGTGGCAGCTCAGCGTGTGGGCAAAGCAGCAATGTGGCTTTTGATCAAAGTTGGAACATCCAAAAAAAAAAAAACACATTACCACAGGAACCAAAGCTGACGAGACAAAAACAATTCCTCAGAATAGCAAGATTGTGTCTGTCATTTTGAGAACAATGGCATTCCTGGCATCCTTTTTCATCCAAAAAGGGTACAAAGAGCTCATAGTTTTAGTCTCAGAAGCAACAATCCGTCAGACGGCTAAAGAAGTCCCACTGCTGGAAGTCACCGAGCCCCTCTGAGGTAAGGCAGGCCTCACAAAATCGGATTTCGCCCAAATACAACATCGGTGATGTGCCACTGCATTTTGGAACAAGCATACCTGGTTCTCCCAACTTCACACGCTCACAGGCTTGTTCTCTAATGTCATCTTCGCAACAACTGAAATGGAAATACAAATACTAGTGGTGGTTGTTTTCTCTCGTTTTCACTCCTCACCTCAGCTTTTGGTGTTTTCTCGCAAGCACACACCAAAAGTCAAACATCTTGTGTTGACTCAGGCATGTGCTCAACAAAGCTGCGTTTAAAGACTTCTTCGCAACGGTTAACGACTTCCGCCTCCAGATGTTTGCATCTTACATCCACAGAAACGGACCAGGTGGCGGCGACGGCGGCATTTTCTGCTTAGAAACAACAGAAATGTGCTATTTCCTTCTCTTGCGACAATTATAGCACTGTAGCGCGCCTTTGATGGAAGGGCTGGAATAATGACAAGGTACATTGGATAGACATCCCGAGGACACACCTCAGTCACTGTGGAGATGCTCTGAGCTGAGGGAACATAACAAAAAAATTCCGATCCCCAGAAGGGACGAATTCGGTCAACGTCTAATTGGCGTTCTCCGTCACTGACGTCAGATAACATGATCACTCCTTATATTCCTGTTTGGCTGTTTATAGGCCGTTTCATTCATCTGAACAGACGACAATCTGGAAGAGATTTCTCTCGAGTGTGTTGACCCTCAACGGTTTGCTGCAAACGTCAAGGTTTGGGGGCAGACTTAAACAAAAGCAGCTAGACGGAAAGCAAAGGCAAATGTTACCTTCTCTGATTCCCTCGTTGTGTTTGACCACCATGTTGTCTTTTCCTTTGTCACAGAAATCCAGTCTGAGCACACTGTGTTAAAAGTAAGTCACAATTGATATGTTAGTGTTAGTTTCATTACGAAGCCTTTTAGGAAGGTAAAACGTTCTCATCAGACTGTGCTATTCTGTTCTTATTTTAATCTTTTATATTGTATTACTCATATTAAATGAAGTTGCTAGATTTTTTTTTCCCCCCGACACAATCAGATTAAACGATTAAAAAAAAAAAAAGAATCAAATATTATAATGAGAATGCTTGAGTTGGCTTTCGGTTCTTTGGCACAGCACTGTTCACACCTAGTCCAGCCTTCTGAAATGACTTCATAAGGCAGGCAAGCTTTTCCACAAGCGACACAACGTTTCCATTAGGAGCCAATGAAAAGAAGAGTTTCAAGGTTGAAAACTGCACTGACATCACCCAAAGCCAATATGTTAATGTTATGTTTCAGAATATGTTTCAATGTTTTTTTTTCATCCCCACATTCTATCCCGAGTGAATGATATGCAGTACATTTCCCTTGAGGAACTCTATCGCATCCGATTTGGCAATTCCTCCTTCGCAGGAAGCATGTTTTTGTTTCCAGTCCTCTTGTCTTCACTTGTGTGAGAAATTAAGTCACGAACTACCCATAAAAACCGAAACAGAGAACGATGATGTGAAAAAGCAAATGCCCCATGTTGGTGTTCACCTTGCAAATAAATCCTGTCCAGATGTTTAAGTAACATTCAGGCAATTACATTCACCCTCCTATTTTCCAGACCGCTTATCCTCTTCAGGGTTGCGGAGAGCTGGAGCCAATGCCAGCTAACAACAGAAAAAAAGGCCTGCTTGATTTGCACTAGCCGCCAGTTTCATGGGAATGAGGGCACCGCGTTTCGACTGGCTAGGAGTCGGCTTGTTCCGTCCCACAACAGCACACTGTGGCACAAACACCCTGTTACGCCCGATTCTCCCGATGCAAAGTCGAGCAAAAGAAAGAAAACTCCACCCATGCACACAGTTACACTGCGCTTTATGCTAGATTTACGCTCTGGGGAAAAAAAAATAGGGCCCTTCGTGTTCGGCAATCAATGCTTAGCCAAATACGATTTCAAGTAGGTAGAAAGTCATCCTACAATTCAGTGTATACGTCAGTGCTTTAAGAATATTGCTGTCTACATAAATGCAAACATTATTCATTTAATTTAAAGAACAAAAGTGTGTTTTGTGAGATCACTGTGTTTCTAAAATGGTTTTTGCTCCTCCACCACGAAAGCGGTATCTTTGAATTTGGACCTTTTTGGTCATCTGAGCACAACGCTTTGGTTAACTGAAAACTATTGACTCCACAAAAATCCATTCAGACTCAACCATTGCAACCAGTAACTGCGTGAAAGTGTGTTTGTGTCACCGTATGGTTAGTGTGTGTCTTCTCCGTCAAGATACTTGTCAGTAGATTAATACCTCATTTCCAATCCCAACATTTGCATCATAATTTATATTTAGTACTTTTAACATATAGTGGACACAGACGCAGACAGACAATGGGACACACGAAACAAACCGACGAATTAAACGTGTACAATTGTCACGTTCAGATATCAGACGACATCATGTAGCTAAAATTAGCATGAAGCTAAAATAATAACTCCAGTGGCTCAATCCCTCACCTGAAATGTGTCCAAAGAGTATTCCACACACATCGGTCAGCCTCGTGTATCAGCCAAACATGCTCCTGTATTCCCAGCACCACTGTTTATTTTAATACTCTCCAACATATTTCACTGCCAGACAGTTGTAAATTATTCTGTAGTGTGTTGTACCTCAAAGTACAACCCAGGTTCTCAACAACAACAACAGCTTGGCTTACTCTTACTGTCCTGTACAAACGACATTTGCCACAGAGTCCCCATCTTCAAGTTTTTTGGGTGGATATTTTGTCTGGTAAGGCAAAAATAATGAATTTCATTTAGATTATTTGAGTCACCTATGGTTAAATTGTACTGCAAAATGCAGCTATGATACATGTTTTTAAATCTCATTTTTTTGCAACTTGAGAAGAATTTGTTAAAAAGTGAACATTTTGCGTTCACATTGTCAAATCTCCTTGACAATAAATGGCCCAGATTTGTGAGAGCATTTTGAAGCCGAGCATGACATGTGAAATGAAAGGAAACTCAAGGTTTGAGTAAAATACTGAAGATGAGGTTGAAGATATTGTAAATTACATTTGGTATCATTATCTTCATCTAATATCTTTTCTCAGGCCTTGTCAACAACGCTCTAAATATAAAGTATGATCTGGCCAAGCAGACGTTTGACCTTTTCCCCTTGGTATTATAATAAAGCGCTTAAGATGCTTTCTAAAGTTCACTATTTCACCATGGAATACATTGCGAGCAGCCCTATTTTAACAGCTTCAAAAAAAGCATGAGCACACACTTTGATGCTGCCATTTGTTCCTCGAGGCGAAGCGGTCCAAATGGTCAAACAAGAATTTACTCGGGGTAATAAGAAAATCAATCTTAAGCCCAGCCATCGCTTTCACCAACCACCAATGTGTAACACATTACCGCGAACACAATTGGAATTCCCCAAAGCTCCAAACCGATATCATTTGCTCAGATCGTAACAGAAATGGAATGCCAATGAAAAATCAAAAGATTCATTGTGTTTATTCCGAGCCTGTGGTAAAACTGTAAAACAGTCCTGATATCACTAAATTACAACTCAATTTGAAGGGAACTGGCTTCAGAATGGATGAAATGGTCCTTTGTGACTTGGCTACTTAATTTCTCTCAACTCTCAACATCATCTACTGGATAACAAAGAACAGGAAGGATGAAATGAAATGTTTTGGGGTTTTCGCAGAACTTCTTGGACATTTATTGACACGAGCCTGAGCACTCTTAAAAAAAAAAATAGGACAGAATCTCCATTCTTAGACAACCACTACTGCTGCTGCTCCAGTTCCACTGTTGAATATTTATGCTGCACCTCTGTTTGTCCCACACTGCATGCATGAGCCGAGCTCTTCCTGGAGCCATTGTTTTAAGAAAATGAAGTGATTAATCGATACATCAAAGAGCCTGCCAACGTTGTGACGTACCGGTAGTACCAGAGCCGTGATGTCTGCATGAACAGCGAATGCCGGAATGGCAGGACAGGGGAATGAAGTTACAGGCTCGATGCTCACTTGTTCCACCCTGTTGCTGGATGGAAAAGGACACACACTTGTGACATATTCTGACTTCTTTGGGTTCTGTATAAAAGCCAAAGGTGGTTTCAAATCGGATGTTTTTTTCGGGCTTGAATATCTTCCACACTCTTTGCTCATAACTAGGCAGCTACGCTAGGTGAAAATCGTATGGTGGATAGACTATATAACACTATCATGTCAAAGCCAAAAGGTAAGCAGAGTTGCAGTGTTAGCACAGATTGACATGAGCTAACGGTGTTATTAGCATTTGTTTCTGATAGCCAACACATATGCTAAATCAGAAACATTGGGACAGGCGGTATATGCTTTTGACAATGTGTTCACTGCATGTGCCATATGCACAAATCTGTGGCATTTAAATCCATCCATCCATCCATTTTCTGATCCGCTTTATCCTCAAAAGAGTCGCAGGGGGTGCTGGAGCCGATCCCAACCGTCTTCGGGCCGTAGGCGGGGGACACCCTGAACCAGTTGCCAGCCAATCGCAGGGCACACAGAGACGAACAACCATCCACGCTCACACTCACACCGAGGGACAATTAAGAGTATTCAATCAGCCTGCCATGCATGTTTTTGGAATGTGGGAGGAAACCGGAGTACCCGGAGAAAACCCACCGAGGCCCAGGGAGAACATGCAAACTCCACACAGGGAAGCCGGAGCTGGAATTGAACCCGGTACCTCTGCACTGTTGAGGTCGACGCACTAACCACTCGACCACGGGCCGCCCGGCATTTAAATCATTAAACTTATTGAAGTGTATTTCGGCAGTTTGGTGACAAAGTGCTGCCTGCGTGAGTAGAAATACAATTGAATTTTTTTGTCTTTTTCTTCACAGCCTGGCTAATAAGTCGAAGCCCTCATTTCGTCGTGACGGCTTATCTTCCTGCATAAATTGCATATCAACCACAGTGGGTGCTCAGGGCCGTTATTCTTCATCCATAGTGCATTTTGACTGAAATCTCATTTTAGTTGGACACTTAGGAACTGTTTTGAATGCAAAATGTCTCCTTTAAACCATGGGATAAGTTGCTAACAAATACAAATACTGCACTGCGCATACTGTAGTCATTCAGGCTTCCAGGAGGTCTTCAGCTATTCACGGCAATCAACGTGGTAAACGAATGCCGTTGAGTCTGGCCTTCCTTACCTCACGTGACAGCAGTTGCTGCAGAACCAGAGAGTTCCTCTGGCCTCCTGACAGGCCTGACAAAACTTTACAGCGCGTCTATTTGAGGCGCCGCAGCAGTAAGTCATAGCTCAAGGTACGGTTGCATAAAGACGCCTGAGGGAAACGGCACAATGTTGTTCGGAACATCACACGTGCTGCTGCAAGAATCAATGGTCTGCTGTTTAGCACTCTTTACAAGCTTGCATATCACCCCCCACTTTCATACAGTGGAACCTCCAACGCCAAATGACCCTGAAGATGTACAATTACAGTAGATATCCAATCAGCAGTGACTGAAAAAAAAAATACGCCTCTAAAGGTGCACAAAGTGCAGGTAAAGGATTCCACAGCTCTACAAATCTGTTTTGCTTTTTTCTTTACTTTTGTGGGTCTTCTAATGGACTAATTGCCCTCGCTCCTCAGTACAGTAAAAAAGCTGAGTTTGAAAACTGATTCTAACTCCAAAATCTGCTGCATTTAAATGTTCTTATGCAGCAATTAAATGTGTCAACTAACTTGCATGACAGCAAAGAATGTTGATACAATTATTAAAGGGTTGATCACGGTGGAAGAGTTGGACTCCGGAACAAATAATTTGATTCTTATTTTCATTCCATTTTCTATGGTGCTTGCCCTTATCATGGTTGCAGGTGAGCCCAAATGTATCTCACTTTAATGAGTGCCACAACCATATAAAAAGTATGGATACATGTATTTCTTTTAAATTAGATCTATTTCTATAAATCTATGCAAGTGTTTCTTTTTTCAAATGGTTACTTGTACAACATTCCTAGGAAATCACAATGTCCTCTCACTGAACAGCTATTTTTAGAACAGACCCAAAGGTTACTCATGTGGTCCTCAAAGGCTATCGGGTGCCCGCTAGTACCACGTTAGTGACCCCTGATTCAGAGTCTTCAATTTAGCCTAACGCACATTTTGGAATAGAAGAAAATGAGAACCTGCAGGGAAGCACAGGGAGAACATGCAAATTGCACACAGAAAGACTGATGCCGAAATTTGAGCTTCGAACATGCTAACAAACCACCAGGCCAGCATCCAGGAACAGATCGTGTTTGACCCTAGAGGTTACACTATGGTACCCGTACATACAGTATAAACCTCACTAGTCACTATAGAGACACCGATAATCACATCAAGAAAAGTGTGTTCAAACACTACAGCGAAGACTGACAGCCAAATATTGACATCTTCAGGAACTTTTACCAGAACCACCAAGCCACTGGTCCATTTTAATCTGAATGTCATTTCAAATCTGTCAGTGCCAATGTCACTCAGGGTACCTGAACGCATCACATTGTAAACAACACACCAATTCTCTATTTCTAAGTGCAGCAATCTTAAAGGACAACTCCAGCAGACTTCTGCATGTGTCAACTCGCATTAACTTGATTTGGCCAACACTGTGGTCACGTATTTCGATTCATGTTTGATTATGTCATTAAATATTGGTTTATAAGTTTAGTGGGAACTCTAACTTCTACATTTACAGAATTCCTTTTTGGGAAAATCACTGTTAAGTGTTTCATTGTATACTTAGATTGCTCAAAATAAATGATGGGGGGTTGATTGCCAATATTCAGAAGCAGGTTGTCTCCGGCCTAAATTACAAAAAACTCTGTACCGGATTCTGGCCACAGGGGAGTATAGTTAGTAATAGATGTGCTGATGGTAACACTTGTGTAGAGAGAGTAAAAACTTTTTCGAGATCTAGAAATCCTTAAAAGTCCGATTTTTCACGAATCAAGACGTAGATGAAGAATCAATGGTCTGCTGTTTAGCACTTTTTACAAGCTTGCATATCACCCCCCCACTTTCATACAGTGGAACCTCCAACGCCAAATGACCCTGACGTTGTACAATTACAGTAGATATCCAATCAGCAGTGACTGAAAAAAAAATACGCCTCTAAAGGTGCACAAAGTGCAGGTAAAGGATTCCACAGCTGTAAACAACACTTGCTTCAGCGGGTGTCACGCAGTGGAATAACTTTGCAAGCACGAGTGTGAAGCATTAACATCAAACATAAGCGTACATCGTTTAAGTCAAGAAACACTTTGTACCAGTAGTTGCGATTTTCTTTACTTTTGTGGGTCTTCTAATGGTCTAATTGTCCTCGCACCTCAGTACAATAAAAAGCTGAGTTCAAAAACTGATTCTAACTGCAAAATCTGCTGCATTTAAATGTTCTTATACAGCAATTAAATGTGTCAACTAACTTGCATGACAGAGAACACTGTTGATACAATTATTAAAGGGTTGATAACGGTGGAAGAGTTAGACCCCGGAACAAATAATTTGATTCTTATTTTCATTCCATTTTCTATGGTGCTTGCCCTTATCAGCGGAAAGCAAGGAACTTTTCGGAGGGGGTGGGGGTGAGAACTCCCATTCCCTTTAAAAAGTTCAACAGAACAAAAAGCATGGATACATGTATTTTTTTAAAATGAGATCTATTTCTATAAATCCCTGTAGGTGTTTCTTTTTTTCAAATGGTTACTTGTACAACATTCCTAGGAAGAGTTTCAAAATAAAACATTCAGAACGCTAGAAGCATATAATAATAATAATAATAATAATAATGTTGACAATTGACCATTTTCACATTAAAACTTTCCTTATTCTCACAGCTTTAAAACATTGTGAACACTTGCCATTGTGTCATTTTTTTTTTTAGTCAATGTTCACCTTGCTTGGTTCGCTGTCACTTTTTCTATTGTTTTAAAATGTTTTTTATGATACACAGAAAAAAAACTTGATTTGGCATCCACACATGCCACATTGACAACTGGTCAGTACGTCTGGCTCACTGGCTTTATGAGCTTCATGGTTTGAAACAGCTCAACTTCTCCTAGGTGTGTCATTTGCAAAAATATGCATTTTACGTTTATTAAAGTCTCTAAAATTTCACTTGTGTAAATTTGTTAATGATTATATATTCTAAAACACTGTATATTCTAAAACAACAACAACAGTAATCATATGAAATAATATAATTCAAACTAAAGTTGATATTGTAACATATGACCAAACCATAGCGTTTGTAGACAAGGCTTGTGCTTGTGCCATTAGGATAACATAATTTACCCCCAAATTGAGAACATGTCTCAATCTCAGTTAGCTGTAGCGTTTCAAAAAGGTTGATGGCCGATGCTCGAAATTGTCCTTAGGAGACACGGCTCCAGAATTGTTTTTTTAATCTCCCAAGGATAAACGGGGGCTTGAACAAACTCACTGGGGCTGAAAAAAAGGAAAAATAGCCTATATTTTAGAATATCAAATAAAATCCTGGAGGACCTGAATTGTGACTATGCAGAATTGTGCCATCACTGGTCTTTAGGTGTGAACCTGAGAGTGAATGGCTACAGTATTTGTTGATGGCCATTGCTGAATATGTAACAACTGTATACTATTGACATATTAACAGCATTTATGCATCACATAAGACAGCAACCAACACTTAAGTCAATACAAGTAGGTGAGACGCTTGGGGTGGGGGGGTCACATTTTTGTTGAGTGAAACCATCTGAGGAAAACGATCTTATAATTTCATTTCCAGAGAACCAAAGAATTTGTTTCCAAGCAGTAATTTACAGTACTGTAATGAGAAAAAGAAAAGGGATATTTGAATTTTGATGGTTTCAGGATATATTTGCGCTGACGTTGGGTTGAGGTTGGCAGAGGATGATAAACAAAACAACATTCCTCACCCGGGACAAGATGATGTTGAAACCAAACAAACAAACAACACTTGCTTCAGTGGGTGTCACGCAGCGGAATAACTTTGCAAGCACGAGTGTAAAGCATTAACATCAAACATAAGCGTACATAGTTTAAGTCAAGAAACACTTTGTACCAGTAGTTGCGAGTCTGGAATCACGACTCACCATAACACGAAAGTGGAACTTGTAATTCGAGCGCGTAGAGCAGGTAGCCAATCGATCAATATGGTGTATCGATGTATGCTAATCACGCCCGGGACTCCTGCTTACCTTCTGACTTTTCTCCTGGGCCGGGCCGTCACACTGGGACTGGTCATGCCTCTCTCGGAAAGCAAGGAACGTTGCGGGAGGGGGGAGGAGGTGGGGGGATGAGAACTCCCATTCCCTTTAAAAAGTTCAACAGAAGTGTCGATTGAAGAGAGAGGGGGCACATTTCCGATTTGGAGTTTCAAAATAAAACATTCATAACGCTCGAAGCAAATAATAATAATAATAATGTTGACAGTTGACCATTTTCACATTAAAACTTTCCTTATTAATTCTCACAGCTTTAAAACATTGTGAACACTTGCCATTGTGTCTTTTTTTTTTTGTCAATGTTCACCTTGCTTGGTTCGCTGTCACTTTTTCTATTGTTTTAAAATGTTTTTTATGATACACAGAAAAAAAACTTGATTTGGCATCCACACATGCCACATTGACAACTGGTCAGTACGTCTGGCTCACATTTATGAGCTTCATGGTTTGAAACATAGCTCAACTTCTCCTAGGTGTGTCATTTGCAAAAATATGCATTTTACGTTTATTAAAGTCTCTAAAATTTCACTTGTGTAAATTTGTTAATGATTATATATTCTAAAACACTGTATATTCTAAAACAACAACAACAGTAATCATATGAAATAATATAATTCAAACTAAAGTTGATATTGTAACATATGACCAAACCATAGCGTTTGTAGACAAGGCTTGTGCTTGTGCCATTAGGATAACATAATTTACCCCCAAATTGAGAACATGTCTCAATCTCAGTTAGCTGTAGCAGTATTGCGTTTCAAAAAGGTTGATGGCCGATGCTCGAAATTGTCCTTAGGAGACACGGCTCCAGAATTGTTTTTTTAATCTCCCAAGGATAAACGGGGGCTTGAACAAACTCACTGGGGCTGAAAAAAAGGAAAAATAGCCTATATTTTAGAATATCAAATAAAATCCTGGAGGACCTGAATTGTGACTATGCAGAATTGTGCCATCACTGGTCTTTAGGTGTGAACCTGAGAGTGAATGGCTACAGTATTTGTTGATGGCCTGCCATCTAGTGTGGATGCCAATCAGCAGGGATAGGCTCCATCTCACCCGTGACCGTAATTCGCAAGACTTACCGGTACTTTAGAAAATTAATGGATATTTGACATTAGGCAGTGATAATACACAGTACACATGACAACAAATGAATGATTCAATGGGCAATGCTGAGGTTGAGTACAATGTATGAAACTGTATTATCAGGCCAAATTTTCTTGGCCCTCTTCCCTCCACCATGTTGCTACCATTAGGACCACGCTTATCATTTTTGCTCTTCTCTTTATTTGAAAAATAGTTGCTCGAGGAGCAGGAAATTCACTTAATATAGTGGAAACGTTAAGTTGGAAACACTGCAGACACAAGACATAAAACTTGCTTGCTAACTCGCTTGTAAAAGCTTCCACACATCTAAACAGAACATCTTTAATTTACAATGTCAGTTGATCATCTATTTCAACTTAAACTTCTGGAGAGCACTTTTTTTTTGGTCATCGATTGTACACACTCGGTTGGGTGTACCTGACTGCTGCGCTCCAGAATATGGCATGTGGTGACGCTGACGGGCTATTATTTTGTTGAGAATAAACAGGTGTTTGTGGAAACTTGATAAGTCTTTGCTCCTTTGGCTGTCCAGCGGCACATGTCCAGGGCTGGTTTCCTCCTCGGCTCACACCAACACATGTTACAGTGTGCACATGCACAGTACGTGCACGTGCTTACGGCAAATCCTCAGTGGGGTGTTGAGTCATCCTGGACACCCTGCTGAAAAAATTTCTTGTTACACCCCTGTGTTGAGACATCTTCCAAGCTTAGTTATATGCTAGACCAGGGGTGTCAAACTCATTTCACATGGTGGGCCACATACGGCCTCGGTAGATGTCAAGTGGGCCGGACCATTAAAATGATACCATACTTTGCTATAAATAACCAAAACAATGTCTTTCCTTTGTT